TTACCGTAGGTAAACATTACGTTTCCTGTCTAGGAAGCTAAGAAATCCTTGCTCTTTCGTTCCTCATCATCAACAAATTTAGATAACACATATTTGCGATGCCCTTAGAAATGGTATCTAAGATTAATATTATTCAACGATCACTAAGGCGGCAAAAATTATATTTATGGTTGCCAGTGGGTTTGCCGCAATGACGTGTTTCTATATTTTGTACTGCCCTCCAACGACCCTACGGTCAGCTGGCAGTTTCCACGTGACTAATGTGAATAGCACTCCATTCTCCCTTTGGACTGATCGCAAAAACCTGCTTATTAGTCATCCCCTAGTACCAGCGCACGTTGACGGTATTTCGCAGATAGCGTTATTAGAAGTCCTCTAGATGAGGTCTATGACACTTCAGGAAAGAAGGTGTTTCGATACTGTCCATATATGGATCGGGAATGTGCTTGCCTTCGCAATTATGATCTTGGCATTAATCCTCATATCTCGATCCATCCGTATGCCACCCAGCCTGCCGAAATTTGCTGATGCCATCCAATTCACCGATTTACGTAAGGACCAATGTCCCCATTGCTAAACAACACATGACAAAGTCATATGAAATGGTCCACCTGTTACATGCAGTATTAATCCAAAATACCGTAGTACTGCCGCTTGGGGAAGACCTCTCTTAATCTTCGTCTTTTCGATGCTCATTTGTGCCCTCACTCTTACAGAGGGCTGAACGCGCTTTCAGCGAATATGACTAGGCCACTTACGGGGTCATTCGGCATCATGATGTCGCTGGTATGCTCAGTGTCGTTTGGAATACCATCGGGTATCTCGAACCGCGTCGCTGAGTATGCGTCAATCTCACGTTGTTGATTCCGCATAAAGTAGTTTGCCATTATGTTGAACAGCAAAGTAGATCGGACCGTTCCTTGTCAAATTCTGGAAGAAATTTGTAACTGTACAATCTTAGCAGTCGCCGTATCCCAGACGTTCAGCCATTTTATTTTTTATTATTTATTCTGTTGACCGAAATACTAAAATATGCTGATAGGAAACCTGTTTCTATACGAATAAACTTCATTTTTTTTCGTCTTCTTCTTTTTCTTTATGAAGATTGACTCCGGTGCTCTAGGTGTCTTAGCAAACTGCTAATTTTCAATACTACCGCTGAGAATGACGTATTCTCGTCAATTCTATAGGTCGAATAGCGTACTGTACGACCCAACACAGTAATGCTATTTTTTACACGTGCACTACATGTTTAATGATGCCATAGAGACATGAAATGAATAAAGTGTCCTATGGGCTGCTAGAAGCAAGGGGGTGATACCAATTTGTCGTGAAATCCATAGAATTGACAAAAATTCAAACGACGTGAGTTGCAGATTTTTTTGATCAATAATCTGATAGATAATCAGCATAAAATGCAACGCGACACTTCACTTGACACATGGTAATTCGTACTTTTATTAGCTTTGCGAAACAACAAACAAAACTGAGAAAGGCAATGCTGTCTCTACAAAAATTGCTATCACCAACTTCTATGAAGGGAACGCTGGGTTGGAGCCAAACTTGAATTCGGGATGCTAGAATTACCTAGCAAAACCACCTAAAGCACTCTGATCGAAGCTGTAGACGATTTAGCTTTTCCTTATTTTTTTAAAGAGAAAACACGTTTTTCTTCTGAGTATCGTCTTACATGTGTGAGGACTTAGTTACACGTGAATCTCTGAATCACTGATATGCAAATGTTAATCCTTACTGTCACTTTCGACTTGTATAAATCAGAACTATTCCTCGATTAGCCTTCAGTTGTTAGATTTTAATAATAAGCGAAATTACCTGTATTTAATCAGAATGAGGACATGATCATTGCTTTTATCAAGTCCTTTAGATTCATAATTTGAAGTACAGAAAGTTAAGAGTGGAATCATTGTCCTTTTGTTCCACATATGCTTATGCCATTCTCAGGGTACAAATACTAAAAACAGCGGTTCATTAGGCTTCATAATATATTCAAAAATATGCTGAATGGGATGTTCGTCAGTAGCCGTGATCACCAACAAAACACAATGACGATGATGGAAACACCAGGACAAAAGTCAATATTATTTTATTCGGAAGGTCAATATTGATATGATAAATCTTGGCAGACTCCAAATTTAAAAAATGTCAGACCCTATCAGCTGAAATTTCACCATACTGCGCTCAGAATAAAGTAGTGCAATAAACATTATGCATAGGGCAAGGTTTATATGGAAAATACGGTCAATAGTTCAAAGTGAAAATAACTAAGCAATGAACATGTACGTTAACACGTTGACAGTACAAATATTACAGTAATAATTAAAACATGAAACTTCGTCCTCAAACAGCACTGACCGCTGACTGTCAAAGACAAGGCCTTACGTGAATATATGGTATCGACTGGTTTACCACTGATCTATCGAAATCATAAGTTTAGCTTCATTGCTCTCTGACTGCGAACGACAAAATGAACTTCGAAACGCACTCAACATATGCACCTCGCAGAAGACCCTTGAGACGCGGACAGAAACGTTGGCAACTCACCTGATTGATCAAACGCTCTTTTCGTAACTCTAGTTTCATGCTTTTGTCAATCTTTCGTGAATGCGTTATATATAAAACATTTCAGCCATGATATAATGATTTCTGGTTTCTGAAAATGGAAACATTAAGACAGCCACGTCTAATCTTACAGTAAATCAATCTTACTGTAATTTTTTAAATTCGTAACTTCCATATTTAGCTAACAAAGATCTTCAAATTGTGCTCATTGATGGATTTCATGTTATAGTTTACAAATCCTTCGCTCTTACATGAGCGATGAGTTCTTAGACGCGAAATGAAGCCTGTAGGTTGCTATCAAAAATTAAGGTTTAGGGTCTACGCATTTTTGCTGAAGGCTGTCAATCTTAAATGAGAAGTAAGAAGCAAATTTTAGGGAATATTAATTTCGAAAAATGCTATGATCTCTCATGTTATCAGTTGAGTAAAGCAGCTCGCTTTGCTTAATTATCATTTTTTACATTTGAAATGTCAAGGGGAGTAACAGATCATGAGAAATTTCTTCATCATGCTGTCTACCCTGTGAGTGGTGGTGCATGGAACTTTATGGAAGGTCGATGCCGAAGACATCCTACGTATAATAGCAGGAAATAGTCATGAAAGTAACATTCCTCACATCATCATTTGATTTTTCACACAGCTCACACTACGTACTTTCAGAAGAAAATAACTTTCGAAGAAGACCTCTTGCCCCAGAGGTTGAACGGCTGCGAACGACAAAAAACTTCCAAAGCTAACATACCTCTCTACTTTTGATATGGCCTTTAAGAAATGGCCAGAAATCATCATTGGTCAATCTTCCGATTGACCATATGGCTTGTGTTGTGTATGATCGATAAATCACTAA